AATCTTTTTGAATGATTAATAGACCATCTCCACTTCTCATTTTGGGAGACCAGTTACCAACTATGAAACACCTGCCTTTACATCAATGTAGCTGCTGCCTGAAATTTAGCTTATTTAGCAGTGACAGATCCTTTGAAGGCAGTAGTTGTTCAGTGGTAGAATTCTCATCTTCCATGTGGGAGACCTGGGTTCGATTCCAGGCCAAGGCACCTTAGGTGCAGCCACCACTCATCTGTCGGTGGAGTCTTGCGCATTGCTATGGCACTGCACAGGTTTCAGTAGAGCTTCCAGACTAAGATGAACTAGGAAGAAAGGCCTGCTGATCTACTTCAGAAAATCAGGCAATGAAAACCCTATGGATCACAAGGGTCTGATTCTCAACCAATCATGGGGATGGTGCAGGACTGGGCAGCGTTTAGTTCCACTGTGCATGGGTTTGCCATAAGTTGGGGGGTTGACTCGACATCAGCCAACATCAACATGATACCTTAACAAGGTTGCCCAATTTTTTCGTAAGGTGTAAACAGTAAGTATTTTAGGGTTTCCAGGTCATACAGTCCACGTCACAACTACTCAACTCTGCCATTGTGAACGCAGCCATAGATTATATGTGCATGGGCTGGTATGGCTGTCATCTGCCAGCCCCTCAATGACACACCATGTTTATACTAATTTAGGTCTTTACTTTTTTACCACCACTCCTTGCTTACAGCTGTAAAATTGGGAGGATAATCTTGGTTTTATTTGTCTCCATGGCCATGAGGAAGATAAAGTACAGTATCTATAAACATTCATAAAAATACTCTGTATTAGCTTCAATCAGCCCCATATTATCAGCTATGCTGTTTTGAAGTATGACACCTTCATTTATTATAATAATCATTGAATTTAACTTTATAAATGTTTCTTCTAATTATGAGGCATCACATAAGAAAAGTAAGAATGTAGAGGTGACAGAATGGATAATTTAAGAACTTTTTTGGTGTCAAAAAACAAACAAACATAAAACTCTTCTTATATCAACAATGCCTCCATAAAGTAGATTAAAAAGCAAGTATTTAACAAAGTTAGCAAGATGAAACGACAAAGTTTAGGATGGCCTGAAACACGAACTGCCTTCATGAAGTATTTCAATTAAAAAACATTCTATAAACAAAGACATAACCAACAAGTTATATTATTTTTTATTCATGTTAGAATTTCTATCAGTGTTTGAACATCAATATTTAGAGAGTTTGTACATTTCTGCCTTCCCAGGGTTAAAAAGAACCACGCTAGGTCACAAATGGTAACTAACACACATTTCACAATTGCCTGTATAGTCACTTGTTCACTCTCAACACTTTGAAACGTCTTCTTTTTCTTGCTGTAATTTGCAATGAAAAGTGTGCCCCACTTATGTCTCAGCAAATTTCCAGACATGGATTCATCACATATAAATTCTTTAAAAATATACTTCTGTCAAAAGACTTGATGACTACTATGTACACTACAAAAATAAATTTTCATATAAATAAATTATATGGCATACTTTTTATCTTTGTAATTGAAATGACACAAACCCATTTCTGCCCAGCTTGGCAGACAATGAGGTGAACTTTGAATATTTACTTCCTTTAAACTCCTTACACGAAAACCTACCGTGAGTTCCTTAACGTAAATGTTATATACTCTGAACTATTTAACATTAGTAAGCACTCTATACAAATAAAAATTCTGTTCAAAAGTAAAACACAGCTGTAATAGTGTTTCCAATAGAAATAAAATCCCTGCATTTTTTTTTGTTATAAACTGGCATGACAAATACTGTAGGAAAACATTCTTATGATACAAAATTATAAATACCAGCAAAGATTTTTTTTAAAAAATCAAAACATCCAAATGAACAAACAAGACAGACAAAATTTAAAAAAAAAAAAATTTTTGTTTAAAAGAGAAATTCTAGTTGCCCGCCAGCCCTTGTTCTCTCTCTGTGAATGTGACAATGGGAGAGAGTTCTATGCCACGTAGAAAGCAAGAGCTGGGAGGGTTGCACGCACCACACAAGCTGGGCTCAGGAAAGGAGCAAGGACACACCAAGAACCAAGGAGATGCTGATCTCAGAATTTTGCATCATCTCCCTCCTCAATGAAGAGGCAGGTGTTAGGTAGACGGACAGTGTGGCCGGCGGAGAGGTACCAAAAAACAGTAGCAGTAGGGGTGGCCAGGGCCCCTCTCTCTCTCTCACACACACACACACACACACACACACACACACACACACACACACACACGGTAGCTGCAGGTGGCTTCCAATTAGTATCTTGCAGTTTCATTGGCGAGTTTTAGGGTCTGAGGTCACTATACTGCTAGTACTACTGGGTGCCTACTGTCTTTCTATTAAGATTTTCCATGTAAAACAGGAGGAAATAAAGGAGTTACCATTCATGCACTCCTAACAGTAGCTTAAGGTTCTGCCATGTGGGGAGTTGGCGCTTCCCTTTGACTTCCCTCCTGTCTGTAAACACCTGGCCAGTGTGGATTTGCAAGGGCGCTGGACACCAGGTGCTTCCCCGGCATTTGCTGGTCTCTGTCTACGAGGTGAGGAAGACCAAACCTCAGAGCAAGAGAACAGCACCCATACAGAAGCCAGTCTTTAAAAATGATGCCTGGTTGAGAGATCAGCCTCCATGTATGTTCTTCAGTAGGGTTTATGCAATTAGCATCTTGCTGCTCTTCAGTAAATGCCACATGGAACCAATGGTAATAATGGCAAGTGGAGTGAGCCAATGTTTCCCATTTCTTTAGGAAGTGTGCATCCTATAATTAATGAGCTGAGAAGGACCCTTCTGAAACTCACATCCTATGCAATGCCTGACTCTGTATCACTGTATCATTTGCTCTCCATTTATTTTCCAAAGAAGACCCAACCAACTGCTCAAATTAGGAAGAGAGGGAGCTTCAATCTTAAGGACTCAAAACACCATCTCTGGGTTTATTTTGGGCTCAGACTCAACAGAACAGATTTTCTACCTGTAGCAGGGCCACAGGCTGCAAAGGATTTTCAATCTACTCTTACTTTTGTGGGGGGGGGTATGGGTGTGTGTGTTGGTCCTGATAAGAGTATAATGAGGCTGCACAATTTGTTAGAGCATGCACTTATGACCCAGTCAGGAGCATCATTAGGCATGCTATCCAATTCTTTAATACCAACGGGAGATGGACAGATGGTAGCTCTATGCCCTGAGGTTCCAATGTCAATCACAACGACCCACGCGGAAAAAACAAAAAACAAAAAACAAAAAACAAACTCATCTCCTTTGCAGCACCAGGTGGGGTGTCTGGGTGACAACAATGACCTTATGAGATGCCACAGACTAGCAGCAAGTCCAGCTTTCCCTCTGCCATTTCCAAAGGATAAAGCCTGATGTTTAGGACTGGCCCTCTACCAGAACTGAGCAATAAAGAGATCCTAACTCTTCCAGCCTGATTAGTTCAGAGACCACTAAGGGTTATAGATGGAGAAAAGAAACGAACAAACAAAAAACATCACAGTACAGTACACGGGGCGGAAAAATCACACGTGCTCACACTCACAGCCGAACAAAAGAACTGCATACAACTAAACCTAGAAAAGCCACCGAGATTCACAGGCTTTCTTCATACCTGCTCATTAAACAACAACAAAATTATCACGCATAGCGTGTTTGGAAGTTAACAGTAACGTTTCATACTACCACAGGGTTGTGATATGCAAACTTAAAATATTTTAAACAGAAATCTTTACAAAATAATCCTATTACATAAGCAATATTTGCATAGAATTATACAGGTAAATTATACAATATTTAAGCAGCAGCAACATATGCTGAAATTTAAGACTAAGTTAAGCTTGGTTGTGGCAGAGAGCAATGTACAAATGCGGAGGGGCCCACTACAGCCTCCCCACTCTGGGATGCGAGTAGAGAAACCCTACTACTTTACACTGTCGCTTTGTATATTACATGTGTACACCTCTTAAATATTTATAGGAATATTTAACAAAATAATACAATCGGTTACAGTAACAGTGAACTGCTCTCCTGGGGCAGCACAGCTTTTCCATTCTCTCTGCAGTTCTCTTCAAGCAGTTCTGAAAAGAGGTGGGGGGTGGGGGCAGGGGTTCCCAATCTTTGGCCTCTTTGCTTCAGATTTTACTCACCCTTTAAAAGAAGAAGGAAAAAAAAAGGAAGTTATAATAGGTAAAAGGTGTATGAGTTCATATTTATAAAGCGCAAAAACCTAAGCTATGGTAGTAGAAATCAGGATAGTGACTGCCTTTGGACGGGGCTGGGTGAGGGTATGGCTCCGGTGGGGGTCGGTGGGGGGACTTCTGGGGACTGCTCATGTTTTGTTTCTCCCTCTGGGGGCTGGCTACCTGGATGTGTTTACTTTGTGACCATTTGTTGAGCTGTACATTTATGATATATACACATGTTACACTTTAATAAAGAGTATGTCAAATTTTTAGAGCCCTCAGTCAGTTGTGTTAACCCTCAACAGCTTAATAACGGGGGAAAGAGAACCAATTTAGAACTCAACTGGTTCTCCAAGGAAGCTGGGACAAGTTAGATTAGTCTTGCCTTGGGGACCTTGGGTGGTACAAAAGATTAACGTGTTTGGCTGCTAATCGAAAAGTTGGAGGTTCGAGTCCACCCAGAGGTTCCTTGGAAGAAAGGCCTGGAAATCTACCTCTGAAAAAATCAGCCACTGAAAACTCTGTGGAGCACAGTTCTACCCTCACCTATGCGGTCGTCATGAGTCAGAGCTGGTTTAATGGGAACTGGTTTGGGGATATGTTTTATTCTTCTAAAGGTTCACTGGAGTTTCATCTGGGCTATACCCAGGCCCAGGGCCTTCTAGAAAATGCAGCCTTAGAAACTCCAAGGAGCTTTTCTGTCTCTGGTCCCTCAATGTCCCTCAGCTGCTACTAAAGAGCAGAGACTCCCAAACACTGCTTGCCCGCCTGCCCAAGCCACGCACCTCAGTTGGAGCTGGTTCCCCGGGGCCTCTCCTCACATTCCACATCTTGCAGCTCTATGACTTCCACTTTCGAATCCCTTCTCTCGCATCGGACATTAAAAGGCACATGGGGGTCCTCAAACAGCCCGTGGTCAGTCTCAGGGTAGTCCTCATAGCCCGGGCAGAGCCCCCCTCGGGGGTTCCGACCATGCCCAGGCCCTGGCCCGGGTCTGGGGTGCACAGCCACAGTCACGGAGGCAGAAGCAGTCACAGTGGTGATGGGTTGGCAGTATCCAGGCACGGAGCTGCCCATGGCAGTGAATGCTGGGTTCCGAGGGTTTTGAGAACGGGCCCCTCGGGCGCCCGCATGGTCCCTATTGCTAGGGCCAGAATGCCCTTCAGTTGAAATTTCAAAAGCGTCCCTGCGCGGTCTATAGGGGGGCGGCCGCAGCCCTTCTCTGGGGGGCTCCCTGTGGGGCTGCTGACCTGGCCGTCCTGGTGGCAGGGGCCCCAAGCCCAGGTGGGGCTGCTGGCGAGGGTTTGAGGACGGGTGGTATCTGGAATCGGGATGGACCACCTGTAGAGGGTGCAGGCAGGTTAAAACAGGCAGAGTGCTCACCCAGGCTGGGCATGGGCACCCCCGATCCTGCTCCTCCCACCTTGGCTCCCACACATACTTTGCCACCCACGTGCAGCACTTCCTTAAATCAAGCTCTCAGTCGACCCAGCCAAAGCAAGAGGAGAAGGGAGGGGTTGGGGAGCCCAGGGGGACCTTCAACCCACAAAGGAAAAACCGGTTCTTTCAAGGACCTGCAGGATGTGGCCAAAGAGCTATTCATTAAGATCTTATCTGCAGGCTTTCTCAAACACAGTCAGCTGGACACGTGTGGCAGCTGCTCATAAATGCAGGGCTGTGGTCTGGCAGCTTCCGAGCCACAGTCCACTCTCCACCCTGTCCAGTCTAGCAAAGCCTAAGCTCCTCTTCTCCTAGAACTGCTAAGTGTCAGGCCCTGGCTCACCCAATCACAGGACGCAGGCAGAAGTGACCATACTTAAGCCATCTAATAACAGAAGTCATGAATTTAAATTTAAGTGAACTAAAATACAAAATGTTGTCTCTCAGTTGCATTAAGCAGATTTCACGTGCTCAGTAGCGACATGTGGCCAGTGGCTACTAGTACTGGACAGCGTAGTCAGAGAACATTTCCATCATCACAGAAAGTTCTGCTGGGCAGCGCAGCTCTATCCAATTGTTAGGAATCTGGTTTCTGGGTCTCTATACAAAGCACAGAGCAGCACAGTGGCCACATCAATCAAAAGGACCGTGACCAACTTCAAAGTCATTGAGCTTGTACCTATTTTTAGGCTCCCGCTGAACAAAACCAGATTCACACTGCAGCTCAGCAGGCATCATCACGGGGGGTAAGAGGAGGAAAATTTAGGTTATTTGGCTGGCCTCTCATGCTTTCATGGAAGGGCTACTTTGGCCTGGGACTGGAATACCCATTTCCTGGAGGGACAGCAGGAGGCCCTCCATCAGAGCAACATGAGCCTTAGAACCTGCCTTGGGTTTTTTCCAGCAGCTCCTGGCAGAGAACATTGTGGGAGCACACAGCCTCTGTGAAGGGGCTGTTCTTAGGCTGCCTCTTCACAGTTTCCTGAATTACTGGAGGCTAAGAACTCAGGGGTGGTTCTCAGCTTCTCTGCTCCCTTCAGCCACCTGGAATATGAGCTTGAAGCCACCAAAGCTTAAAGTCTTCAACAATAATAACTAAGCTCAAACTGTATTTACCAGGAGGAAGACACCTACTAATGCTTTACATAGTAACCGACCCCTGTCCTTTGTGCTAAGTATTAAGTTGAACCATGTGAAATTGGTACTTTTATAATTTAAGAAGTGTCAAATATTGGCCATTTCATATGATCTGACCTAAGATATGCTTAGGAGTCCCTGGGTGGTGGCAAACTGTTGATATACTTGCTGCTAACCAAAAGGTTGGAGGTTTGCGTTCACCCAGAGGCTCTCCTAGGAAAAAAGTCCTGGTGATCTACTTCTAAAAAGTCAGCCACTGAAAGCTCTATGGAGCATGGTCTACTCTGACACACACGGGGTTGCCATGAGTTGGAGATGACTTGATGTATGTTTATTTTTTGCATCATATGTATCCTGTCTCTGTGATTTGCAGCTTGGAGCAGGGAGGGGCTGCCCTGGACACCCTCTGTGAGCACTGCACTCACTGCCATGGGTGGTAATGACCCACCCCAGCCTCGAGGATGACTTACGGTGGAACGGGCGAAGACAGGGTTTTCTGTGGCCTCTACGATCACTTGATGGGCAGGGCCCCCGGTGCCCTGCTGGGCCTCATAGTGCCGGAGCTCCTCGCTGATCCCCGACACCGTCGTCTGAGAACTGTACTCCGAGTCAGAGGAATCAGACCCATTGTTTGTGTGACTGGGGGGCACAGCAAACCTGACAACGCTGGGGGGTGGCTCAGGGGAGGGAGTAGGTAGCCGGTTCAGCCCGCTGGCTGGAGACACCTATAAGGGGAATGCATATTAACAGTGTTATTAGCCATTGTTGGCCACACTCAAAGTTCAAAGCACAGTATTTACCTGGGGGCCCTGACATTACTCTGTATCCACCTCCCGCCTTTCTGCTACCTTCAGGAGCATCAGAGGAAATAACCACCCTTTGCTTTTAGACATTGAAAAGGCAGGGTTTGCACTTTTTACTTGTGCAAGCCCAATATTCTTCTGCAATGGAAAGTGTTTCACGTATATCCATCTACAAGACTCAGGCTGCCAATCAGTTGGTTTTTAAAAACAATGAAATAAAACTAGTACTACATCCCCTAAAACTATTACATTGAAGAGAAAAAGCCACAGTTAAATATGTTTACTGAAAATGTTAACAATCAGCAAATATGCATATACCCAAATATCTAAATTAAGACTGACGCCAGGAAAAATAACATTCAGGTGTCCTGTGGGTTTTACCTTACACCAGTGTAACCACTGACCTCAGGATACGGCCCAAAGAAGGACAAAAGGACTGGGAGCAAAACCAATCCATTCAGAACACCCAGGATTGTTAAGATGGCCAGAACCGCAAAGAAATACCTGGAAGATAAAAGGGACACGGGAATGTTTACTGAGATGAACAGAAATTATGCTACCCTTCATGCGCCCAAATACATCTGCACGTCAAAACCAAAACTGAATAAAAACCATACCACTGAAAAGCATGCTACAAAAACTACAGTTCAAATTCAGCACAAGATTCTTTTTTTTTTTTTTTACCCTATGGCTTTGAGGACTATATTCCACAACCCAAAGTGTGAGTTCATGGAGGGAACGAAAAAAAAAAAATGAATTTGTTAATTTGCTGCAATCTCCTGGCATGTAATGTTATTTATGAATGTGCTACACAAACACAAAAATATGGAACGCAGGCTGAATGGCCATACAGACCGAGAGCACAAGCACAAAGCAAAGGGAGCCCCTCGCACGAAAACCCAACAGAAGCAAACAAATGAAGTGAAGGGTGTAGAATTTAAACAATTTAGCCCAGGAGGAAAAGAATCCCACTTCTGCAGGCAGCTAATCCACTGTGAAATGCGTCTGCATCTTAGAGCAGAATCTCTAATTAAAGTCTCTGGCGTCTCAGGTAAGGCTTTCCCTGGGCTTTCATTAATCACAACTTGCTGCCTAGAATTCTGTGAGTTCCAGTTTTACCAAATAGCTCCAACTGCAACCTTTTTAGAACACAGGAACCAGTTTTCTGCAAAGAAAATGCTGCCCATTCTGTGGGAGTGCAGTCATTGTGCTGGGTGAGGGCGCTCCACAATGGCCGGGCTGCTCGGCAGGCTAATCTTTTGTTGAACAATTTAGCATCTCTGAATACGCTTGTTTTGCGTCAGCCAATTCAAACATAAAGGCCACAGCACCATGGAAGAAGAGGAAAGAGCACAAGTGGCCCTGCTTTCCCACCACTGAGGGCTAAGGTCTGGGATCCTTCCTGAATACCAAGGTAAACCTGGCAGCCGGGCGAGCCTCTCAGCAGACACTCCGCACAGCTGGAGAGAGCAGACTTCGAGCAAGGAGGCATTTCTGTAACTAATGATTTCTAGGGTCATTTGGATGGAAGTGGGCTGGGGTAGGGGAGAGGTTTCTGATGTTCTGGGAAGAAGAAGGGCACGATACCTATCTGCTAATAGTCCCCTTGATCATACAACGGAACAGGCACCAGCTTTGCCACGTCTATATGTTTCGCTGTTAGATTAAAGAGGAGAGGATCCCTATAAAAACACAAGTACCTTGCAGGTCTTGTAAACACTAGAGACTTCTGAGCTACATTAGCAAAGACCAAGCAGCCAATGGCTTGCTCTAATGTAAACTGCTAGAACTTTCGGCTGAGACATATATCAGCAGCAGGCATTAAGACATTTTCATCCCATCCATCTCGCTGTAGAATAAACAGAGCAATTAGATTTCTGACGGCTTAGTGTATACAATGTCTGCTCATGTATTCAACCTCGGTGAGGACTTTATCAGGTTAATTCATCCAGTTCTAGAAAATGGGAAGCCCTTTTAAGTGCTTGAAACAGGAACTCTGATACCTCTGGGAGGAGACGACAGTCATGAGTAGATGAGAGAACTGGAGTTCTGCCCTCTAGGTTCTTGGCCTGGTTGCTCTAATTCTGGCAAAGTGTTCCTCCCTATGGCTCATGCAGCATCCTCCACAAGGCCGAGTGCAATCCTCCAAGATCCCATCAGCCCCTGTGTTTCCCATAGTTCTGGATGGCCTGTGAACTTGTCTCTCCCCTCGTAGACCGTAAGCTACCTGAGAAGAATGCTGTGTTCCTGCTACTTGTTGCTGTGCAAAATGGCACTTGAGGTGCTTAGTACATTTGTGTTGAATGAAAAAGAAATTACATGAAAGAAATTCTATTTGACACAGGGTTTTCATACCATGAAGAAATAATACTAACGTCTGAAAAAATGTATACTTAGGACATAAAGGAAAAGTCAAATTCAGAACTTAACAAAACCAAAGCCTTTATGTAAATAGGAAAATACCGATTTGGCACTGGAGGCAACAATCATGAACTGGCTTATTAATTTACCAGTGTGAGGGCACCACGCTGACAGAAATGTGGGTAGAAATGCAGACTCTCTGCCCCACCCAAGACCTACTGAATCCCGTCTGCACTGAGAGAGCCTTAGGTGGTTCACTGAGAGCTTCACATTAAAGTCTGAGAAGCACTGGTCTATACTTAGAGCTATTCCACCTCTTCCACCCTACACCAAACCCCAGTGAGCAAACTCAGGCACTTATTTTAGGAAGGCTGAGTCTCTATGATGCTGAATTGCCCAACTGGGTTTGCCATAAACCAATGTGTTGATCCTTTTTCCACAATAATGAAACTTTGTAGCTCAGACACACACACAATCACACATCCCACCCATGAAAACCTGTTCAGATTATCTATCCAAATTGAAGAGTCCCAAACAATCCAGTCATTTCTCACATTTGGTTCTGCCCTACTACAGCTCTAATTCTGGGCAATGCTTTAGTTATTGACAAATTTTAGCCTTGCCCCTCCACAAAGTAGCAGTGTTTGTCCAAGATTAGCGACTTCAAAAACTGCAAAGGCCGTTTAAGAGTGGAAAATGGTCTCTTTCCCTGCAGTTCTTAAATTCTTTTCAAAAGGAAGTCACCTTCTTAATTTAACTCACTAGAAACTGCCTGCCTTTAGATACAAGAAGAAGAATCTAAGACAGCCTTGGATTTCCAAACTTTAACACCAAAGTTGTGCATTCAATGCTTTCTCTTAGTGAGGATGTAATACGAAATCTGGGCACATTACTCTTCACTTCTTTAGAGAATAAGTAGGTATTTCTGAGTTTTTCTTTCTACAGTGTTGAAGGAGATGAAGCAAAGGTCAAATTAAGTCAATTAATGGAACCATGACTATCTTTTCCTGTAGCTATTTCAAATGTGGGATACTAAGAACTGCAATATTGGGTGACCCTTTGGCCTCAACATGTGGCTTTGCTGCTGGTCCCAAACCCTCCACCTTCTCTCAAGATACTGCACAAGACATCTCTAGAATAGAGCTCATCTTTATATACCTCTCAGTGTATCTCTGAGTTAGTAAGGTCAAAAGAAAGTAGAGTCATAAATGAAGACGTGGCTCTACTTACCTACCAGATACTGAATGACATAAGCAATGTAGGGTTTTCATATCATAAAGAATACTAATGTCTACCAGATAGAGAAGGAAATATGCAACAAAGGTCAAATAACAGTGGTTTAAAAGAACAGTCCTCTCTCACACACATGCTTACCTGACAATGAAATCAAATTCAGACCCTGCAAGCATCAGGACTCCAAGGAGAGTGGACACAGCACCATCGAGAACGGGTGCAAACATGTGTTCCAGGGCAAGCACTGCCCTGCGGTTTTTATCACCAATGGCCGTGAGAAAGGCCTGTGGAAGGAGCAGAGTGCATATGATCAGTTTCCTTCGGTTTGTACGGTCAAATGTTCAGCTTTGTCTTAAAATGTGAAAATCGGGTGCCAAATACATATTTCCTCATGGTCATCCTCAGGTGAGAATTTTTGTCACTGTGTTCAAACTAATATGTTTGCAGTACATCTAGAACACCATGGAAGTTTAACAAGAACAAATATGGGACTGTATATTCGAAGTAAGCCTACTCTAATTATGTATGGACATATCCCTGCCTCCTTCACATTTCTAACACTCTTCTAGGTCAAGAATGCTGTCGATACCAAATGGGAAATCTACTGAGTAAGTTCAGGTATATCAGACAGTTGGTTTGAGAATCTGACCCAGAACCATTTTAATGTGAGTTAGTTATTGTTATACCCCGTCTGGTCCTAACAGTGGGACCCCAACAGGGAGGGTTGAGCCTGACTGGAGTTCCCGCTCTGCATGAAAGTTCAGGCTGCTCTGGAATATGCTGAGAGGAGAGAGCTCAGAGCTTTTGCAGGCTGCAACTCCTGGTGTCTAGTATTTTACCCTTAAAAAACAAACAAAATCAAGGTCTAAAATACACTGCAGGGTACAATCCCATCCCTTATCTACCTGACAGACAGACAGGAATGGTTATTCTAAAATAAATAAATGAATACATAAAATAAATAAAAGATGAATAAATAAATGTATACAAATGTGTGCTGTAAGTTTTCATACTTCTCTCTATAACAGGTACTTCTTCTAAGATGGGTTCCACTTATATACTTACTGTGTCAATTGGGGAAAGACATTAAGGTCAATCTAGTAGTCATTTTCTCTTGGGATGAAAGCACCAAGACAGTTTGGAACCATGTTATTCTGTCCCATATTCGGGCCGTGCGACCATGAGGTTCAAGCTGTGTTTATTCTATCATACACAACTTATACATTACCGAAAACATATTAAGCTGACAGGAACATATTGATTTCTTAAAGCCTTTCAGGGAAGAAGATTTCTTCACCAACCTTATTCCATCATTTTACGAACCTTGTAAGAGCAACAACTTCCTACTTTAAAGAGAATTCTACATGCAGGATAGGGTAAGAATACTGTGTCCTATATGTAAACAGTACTCTTGAAGAATGAAGAGTTGGACTTGCAGCACTAAGCTGGGGTTTCCACTTGCAAAGTAAAGTTGGTTCATGAGTAGATCATCAAACTCCTTAAATTCAAGGAATTAAATCTTGTATGAGCATAGAAGCAATCCTTAATTTTTCAGTAAACACCACTGGTGTGGATATTTATGTTCATACAACCTTTGAGTGCACAGACCTGGAAATGCAGTTAGCTTTTCCATTGTGAAAAATCTGTTCTAGGAGGCCCTTGTTTGCAATGCTAGCTACCAAAAAAAAAAGGTGGTTTTCATTCACATCAGACTGACTTGCAGATTCTTAACAGATGTGAAAATTTTCTTCCTTTTGGTAAAAGGGTATGAGAATTAGTTTTTTTCTAAGCTGTAGGCTAGGCGGCTCCTCTTTCTAAAAATGCACTCTTCCTCCTTCCAGCTCAATGAAGGAAAATAATTTGAGCAGGCTTAAAATTTAGAGGATACTGTTTCTATATTATCAACTTTCCACGTCTTCTACGTTTGCCAACTGTACCCCTCCTTGCAAGGTATTTCTATAAGCATGCTATACTAATTTTTTTTTACAGCAACATGTAAAAAAAAATTGGCATAGTGGCGCTTATGAAAATACCTCATCAGAGGGGAAGGTGCGGCTAGCAAACAAACGTAGGTGTGCGTTATTTGTGTAAAAATATGGTATACGCTGGGAAGAAATTAGATAACAGCAACAAAACAGATAACAAAAGTTCATCATCTTAAAGTTGCATAATAATAGCCCTGCAAGAGTTCTTCATAAACCTTCGGAGGACTACAGAGGGAACAAGGCAGAGGTAAATGTGTAGACATACGGAGGTGGTCAACATGGTGGAGTAGTTAGACGCTTCCTATATCCCTCTTACAACAAAGACCTGGAAAAACAAGTGATTTGACTCTATGTGAACATCTGGCAGCCCTGAACAAGGCAAGGTTAAGAAATCTGTCTGAGTCATACCGGAGAGGAAGACCGTTTGGAAGAGGTGAGGAGGGCTAGAGCCGCAGCGGTGAAACTGCAGAGCCAAATGTGTAGACATACATTTTCCCTGTGTTGAGTCCAAAGCAAAACAATGCTAGAGACTGAAAAAGCAAGGCTAATAGTACCTTAGTCTAAGCTCACTTTAAACCAACACTGAGATTCCTAGTTAGGGCATTCCAAATATCAAGATTCATTCAGTCAAAATTTATCAAATACCTACTAATAACCCCAAGTACTTAGGCTATCAACACAACTGTAGATAGAATGTTAATTTACACACTGCCACGAGGCTTTAGAATTTGGAAACCCAGCAAAGGAATTGACATTATATTCTCAACTATATGAATTTTTTAATGTCTAAATAATTACACATATACAATGATAAATGCATGTAATGGACTTGCCTCTTGAATAAAGGCCTCAGCCTAAAGCTTAATTTTCTTCAACAATGTATTCATAGGATTGGGCATAGAAACAGAGAGGGAAAACATTCTCCTATTGGAAATAACACTACTTCTCTTACTTTCTGCTGTTCTGAACTGAGAGGCTGGGAGGCTGAATGAAGGAGCTGGGTGAGCTTCCACTGAAACACCAGTTCCTTGAGGCTGAGCATCTGCACCCTCAACCATAGGCCTGAAGGTACTGCCATGGCTGCCAGCTAGCCTCATTCTCAAACATGCCCCATCCCTACTGGGCCTGGGAGTGTGGTCTCACATATGCCCATACACACAATCTGTTTCAGGAACAAATCTGACCATTTTAGAACCTGGTGACACTAATGACACATTCAACACCAAATGAGTAAAGTCCTTCCTTCCTGGCTCACTTTCCAACAACATTGCTGACGAGGCCCAGCTACTTTTCCCTTTCATGCCCTTCTCCTTAGAATCCCCAAGAAGGAAAGGAATCCAGAAAAATTTCAGTGACTACTAGGGAATTCCTGTGCTCTGAAGCCTTTACACTCTGAGGCATGTTAGGAGTGTTCCTTGAAATTGAAGAAAATTAAATGGTTCCCACACGGAGACTAAAAGAGCTACAGGAAATGTTAACTTCCCTTCAAGTATTTGCTTAAAATGTCTCCCATACCAAAGCAACGTGGACGGTGAATTCCACTCCTATGCCGACGGACGCAATCAAGATGACCACGGGCACAGCACTCAGCTTGATTCCGATGAGGCCCATCATGCCAAAGAGCTCGACCGTCATCAAAGCCAAGACCATCACCTGTGAGAACACACACACAACAATTAGTGACTGGGTACATCACATCCTAGGTGTTGAAGACAAGATGTCAAAAGTACTAATGTGGTCTCTTTTGCAGATCAAGAGCGGAGAAATGCACGTGACCCAAATAGAATGAAAGCACTGATTTACTGTGACTTTGTATAACTGTCTTTGCTTCCCAATTCAACTTCTCCCTGTTGGGAATGGAGACTTTGGGACAGCCAATTTGTAAGGCTGTAGGAATAAGTACATAAAGGCAAAGTTTAGTATTCTAAGGAAAACTGTTTTTCTAATATATCTGCTCTAGAAAGCAAAATTATTTTTTTATTATTCCCACCTTAAAAAAAAAAAAAAAAAGAAACAACAAAAAAACCCAATAGTCAACTACGATTCACGGAGACCCCATGTGTGTCAGATAGAACTGTGCTCCACAGGGTTTTCAAAGGCTGAGTTTTCAGAAGTATATCACCAGACCTTTCTTCTGAGATGCCTCTGGGTGGACTCAAACCTCCAAACTTTGGTTTAGCAGCCAAGCACATGAACCATTTACACCACCCAGGGACTCCAGAGCAATCTATTAAGAGATTACACAAACATGGACTCACTGCTAGCTACAACTTTAATATAGTTTAAAACAAGATATTTCCTTCTGCTTTGATCTTAACCATGATGGCCCATCCTTCAACTCACAACTGAGTTGAAACTTTGCAATTTTTGGTTGTTTCATCCTCCATCCTGAAGAAAGCTGACAGAACAGGGTGATAGAAAGTTCTTTTAAGTAAAAGTAGTTTTGCTTTTGTTTGGAGAGCCCATCAGCTAAGTGAAGATGACTTGGGAGCAAGTTAAGCAGTGAGGAAGGGGATGCTGTCATCAGCTGATACGTGTCAGGTTACAGGGGCCCCTTTGCTTTGAAGAAATGTGGGGACTGCGGTGGACAAAGAAAACAGTTCAATCCAAGGAAAAGCTTTTCTTTGCCTTTCATCTTCCTTGTAAAAATTTGTAGGGAAATGGGGAAAAAATCTGTGAGGCAGACTTTGGAGTTTCTCAGGCCCAAAGGGAAAAAAAATACAAATAAAACAAACTTTGGAAGAGAAGGAGAAACTAAGTTTTCTTTCCTGGGGGTGGGGTAGGGGATAGTGGTGGTGGTAGGGGGAAGTGTCACAAAAGTTTCTTTTGCTTTCTTTTAATAAGCTAATGAAAGATGAACAACATCAATTACTTAAGTACCATGAAAACTCCTGCAGACTAAACATTTACCTTTTAACATACCTGCTGCACAGACTTCTGGTGCAGAAACAAGCCCTGGTCTATGTTCTATAATTTTGGCATTTTGAAGGCTATACCACAGTTCATGGAATTTAAACACTGCCATGAGTTTACTGACTTTCCATGAAACTTACTTCAAATCTGAGAGTATTCTGGAAAAAGGATGCAAGGGGGGGAAAAAAGCTAGTAATCTTAGTTTATCATTTTCCTCCAGGAGTTAAAACCATTTTTTTCCCCATATACTGTCCTGAATTCTCCAACTACCCTCCATTTTAAATACAGAATAATCTCCTGTATATTAGGTCTAGAATGAAGTCACAAAATGACACTTTTGAATTAAAAAAAAATAGAAAAAACTAGTTATGCTTTGAGGGTTTTGATAAATGCTCAGCACTGTTATGGCAAATGTGTTTAAAAAGCTCTCCTATCTTTACATGGAAATTTTAAAGCTGTAGGAGAAGTGACCCAAGATTAAGGCCATTAAAGGCTCTACCTTAACCATGAACCTCACCACCTCAAGTAGAATAAATATATTATGGATGATGCAATCTATACCCTCCTCCAGAGGCCCAGACATAAACAAAACGTCCTGGCTGCAGAAAGAGCTATGCTGAAAGGAATCTGACTTCCACAAAGACCCTTATAATAAACTCACAATGATCCCGGCAGTCCAGGGGTTCAGGAGGAAGACAGCACACACCAGAAATGTGCAAGCCAACACAACGCTGATGGACAGCAGGAGCCAGTGGCGAAGCCCGATGTACTGCTCCCAGAAGAGGAATGGGTAGCCGTTGGGGTAGCTGGAGACCCCCAGGTTCGTGTAGTTGTTGCAGATGGTTCTTACTTTTTCAATCGCTTCCACAAAATCTGACGTGTCACGCAAGCCGTTGAGGTAGAAAGGGAACTGAGCATATTCAATGGGTTCTGCTGCCGGGACTGCACCAGGAAGACAACAAGGGAGAAGGCCTGGGGTTAAGAGGATCCTTGCAACACCCAGATATTTATGTATGCAATACCAGTACCAGTGGCCATCGAGTTGATTCCGATTCATGGTGACCCCATGTGTGTCAAAGTAGAACTGTGCTCCATAGGGTTTTCAATGGCTGATTTGTCAGAAGTAAATCGCCAGATCTTTCTTCCACCTCTGGGGAGACTTGAATCGCCAACACTTTCGTTAGCAGCCAAGCATGTTCACCGTTTTCGTCACCCAGGTATGGGATAGTTGTGACAAATTTCCATCGTGAGTCATACCAGATTTGTGTCCATTTTTACAAATAGTCCCCAGATACTCCATAATTACAATGAAAGATAACGAACTCTGCAAGGAAGTTAACTTACTGGGTTTTTTCAATGTAAGGTGCAAATAATACCAATGATAGTCTTTGGGTCTTTACAATTTTAATATTTCATTTAAAACATTTTTAACAACAATCAACTTTTGATTTTTTTGGGGAGAGAAGCATGGGAGCCTGCAAGCTGCATGTTTTTCAATCCTTGCCTTTAATCTCCTAGAAGCAGTCACTCTCTGTAATGGGTCTAACAACTTAAAAATGAATTCGCAGGACCCTTTTTAATACAGTAGACACAAATGAAAATACAAAGTCCAAACGGTTTTGCTCAATTACTTATGGGAACAAAATAACTTGAAAGTCATGCTTTACTGGGGAAAACGCTTAACTTTCTTATCCTTTTAGTGATCTCACACTCTTAAACCTTCCATGCTTCTTTATTTAATGCAATGCTAAGTCTTCAGCAACAGGGGAAGAAATCCTTACATAACAAATGTTTAGTTACTGCCGTTGTGTGTTCCGACCCTTTGGGGTCATTCAGTTGACTTGCTAAACATGATTTGCCCTATTATAATCTCAACTATAAATTTTCATTAAGACAAGCCTTGGCTGCTTGCCACAGGGCTCTGGGGTTTAGATACAGTGGCGCACAACCCGCTTGCTCTCCATGTTTATAAAAGGACCCGTCTCCTTTCTCACGTCTTCCCTTGGCCCAGTATCCAAACTATAAGCTACAAATATCGCTCACATAATTGCAAATGAAAAGCACAGAGAATCACCTTTCAAACCCTGGGCTGAGAGGGGAAAGGAAGAGGACATTGCTGTATACAGATTTTCTGCTCCGCTTTAAACAGCTCTGACAGAGTACAGGTGCTCAATGGCTTATAGGAATGACCCAACTTGCCAAAAATCCCTTCAACGCCAGAGATGACAAAGTTAAGATAAACATTTAATCCCCGGCGATAAAATTTTGTGATGGTAAAATAACACTCAACCTGGAGTCTTCCCCAACGTTCACATGGAACAGCTGGCATTCAAGAGCAATGCCTGATGAACGTCTTCGCGTTAAAGCTCCAGGCGGAAATTAGAGACGCTTATTTCTCAAAGTGATAGAGCATGGGGTTGTATTCCATTACACATCCTCATCTGTCTCCCCGAGTTTTAAACTAAAAGAAATATATTGTTCTGTTTATACTTTTGAACCCTGGATAGTGTCAGTGGACTGTTACTGGAGAACAGAGCGTGGCAACTCCGTGCGCTCCCAGCTCTGGAGGTGGAGGGCTACTCACTCCGCAGCCTGGTTTCTGGCATGTAGTCAGCTTTGTCGTGGACCCATTCAGGCCGGTGGGGCCGGATGTTGGCCTGGGAGGCAGCATAAGCGACGGGGTCGTTGCTGACCCAAGCAGTCAGGTAGATGTAGAAAGCACTTGGATTAATGATGCCATCTGCATCCACCAGACGCTGTTTAGTCAACTGCAAAACGGGAAGAACAGAGGCCTTTCAGAATGGGGTCTGGGGGGGTGGGGTGGGTTGGGGACCACACTTGCCCAGAGAGAAAAGCAGCAGAGCTCTGCACTAGCATTTACAACAAAGAAGAGAATGTCCACTGTTGGAAAGTGTAGAAAATCCCATCAGAACACCTTCAATTTCTTTCAAAATGCACTTCTCAGAGGATGCCATAATGGTTGTGTTGATAACAAACACACAGTTCTGCAGATGGCCCGGGAATTGACTGAACCAATTAAATCTGAATGCTAAAAAACCGTCTGCAGCCAAGGCAGAGAATGAACAATCTGGAGAAACATATTTATAGGAAGGGGGAAAAAAAAAAAAAAAACCTGGCAAGAATCCCCATACACGTCTGTGTGCAGTTAACCTCTGTTGTTAACACTGAGTGCAATGCCACCCAGTAAATGGAGGAGAGCTATAAAAATAAAACAACATCTGTATAAATTTTGCTAAAACTTGCCTCCTATGACCTGTGTATTCAAAAAATGCCCATTGCCAGAAAGTGGAACAGATTACTGCACAACCACAGTCACGCCGGAAATCTAATTTCTGAGAGGTAGTCACACCGCGCGTCCCGAATCCCATGCGTGGCCAAATTCGGCACCTCTAAGTGGGCCTTGCAGGCTTTGCTTAGACCAAAAAAAGACATAAAAAAGACAACAACAACAACAAAAAAAAAAAACCGCTGGGATCTCTCTATACATATATATATACTTTTTTTTTCATGTTTATTTTAGATTCAGGCCTGGCTCCAAAACTTTCGGTCTTGTCTTTTTTTTTTTTTTTTTAAACAAAATGAAAAACACCAGTGACAGCAGTTAACAGAGAAAGAGTGAAGGAAGAAAGGGCGTGGAAAAGAGCGAGTGAAGTCGATTTCAGAGGTCTGGATTCCATTAATCCACACGATACTGAACAACCGGGTGTCCTCAAGCCGTCTTTGGAATCACACAGTGCAGCTCGCCGCCTCCGTGGATGCAGCACGCTTTGCTCCCGCCCAGGCAGAGGAAATGATATCCGGAGGCCTGGCGCAATCATGTTTGCTCCGTGGTGGATCTGGGCCCTAAAACCCAATCCAGCTCCCCGGGCATCACCCCGCTATCTCTCAGACGGACTCCTCTGTCCTCGGCCTTGTCAAACCTGACAGCCGACTGCATGGTGCTATAAAGCACAGTGTTTCACACTCCATAATAACTCTGAACAATGTACTGTGTAAATCTGTCACCTTTCATGCCAGCAAAAGAGGGGAGACAATGAACAGAGCTCAGGAGAAGATTAGCATGACGGGTTCTGCCTGAAGGTGAAGCAAAGAAGCTAGAAAGAGCAGAGGGAATAGGATCTGTGGAAACCAGTAGTAGTGTGGGATTCATCCAAAGAGTCCAAACACACTCCCAAACACACCCCAGGAAACAAAAGGGATAGCTAGAATCCAACGTCAGAGAGAAGATGCAATAGAGCTGGAGAATGATTACCAAATAGAAATAACTCTTATTTCTTAGGAGGTGGGGCAGTTAGATTGGTTAGTCTACTCATCGTCCACGGATCTGCATTTCCTTTGGCTTCATTCATGACAGAGCAATTTGTCTACTCCTTGGGGCCAGGGTGACACAAAGGCGTCAAATGAAAAACAAAAGATTAGTCCTTGCACCCCTACAGTAACTTTCCAATTTCCATCCATCCACCCCCAAATGACTGCTACGTAATGAACCCATCTTTCCAAGTTTGAATACAAACAAGACCAACACAATACATGTACAGGAATTTGAAAGGAAACAATAGGACATGCGTTTCTAACATCTGAAAGAGCTTTCTTCCTCGCAACCACATTTTATTCTGACAATCATTCTGGAAGTCAGTGACAAACTCACCCCCTTGACAGATGAGGAAACTGAGGCTCACTCGATTGCCTGAGGTGACACAATTAGCTAGTAGGAGGAGGTGAAGTAGAGCCAACTCAGTGTTATTTCTGTTGTTGTTGTTGTTAGGTGCCATCGAGTTGGTTCTGACTCATAGTGACCCTATGTACAACATAATGAAATACTGCCTGGTCCTGCACCATCCTCACAATCGCTGCTATGTTTGAGCCCACTGTTGCAGCCAGTGTGTCAATCCATCACAGTGAGGGTCTTCCTCTTTTTCACTTTCTACAAGACCCTAATGCCTCCCAGAACACTGGTGGGGATTGCATGCCTTCAACAGGATTCGTCACAATGATGTCTTGCCCCCAACGCTCTGCTTAACCGCGCCCACTGGAGCTCCCATGTGGCGGAGTAGTGAGATTACCTGACTGATGTCAATGGGTTTATCGCGGCTGCCAGTTTGCACCAGGAGTTTGTAGGCAAGGACCCCATCATCTGATCCATTTTTGTAATTGTTGGGCATGATTTTCCCAGTCTCCCAGTCACTGTCAAATGCATCCTGAAGTCCTAGAAAAGGCAATGTGTGCAATACGTTACAACTTTTAGCAGAAATACTCCTGGTCCTTATGAGGTGGGCTGAGGACAGGAAGCAGGACATCAACCCAAACACTCTGTGTTCTACCTCTACCTCAAGCTGAAGTGATACTATTACAGTTTTCATGAATGAACTGCAGGTTGCTAATAATCATTGCTTAAAGGAGAGTGGGGGGCATGTTTATTTCTAGGAAACAGATATACGTTACCTTAAAAAAAAAAAAAAAAAGAACTCTCCTTTTCTGTCATGACTATTCCAAAAGAGAGCAAGAGAGACAGAGAGAGAGTGCGTGTGCACATGCCAGAGAGCCAGCGAGCTCTGGCTGAGCATCTCCATGGGGTGAGGAAGATGCACAATGTGCTCACTGACGGTTTCATGCCACTGTAGGGTGCTAAGCCATGGGTTCTTCAATACAACCAGAAATTCCACTCAGATAGGGAAAAACACATTCAAACTTCCGACTTCAAACAGCAACTCAGCTGCTTCTCGAGCCCAGGGTGAGTGAACACGATTCTGTCAATTTGTTCCATCTGTTCGACTTGTGGAGCTAATACAAGCTGTGGGATCTGCTGCCAGGTTGTGTAAAGATCACAGCCAGCACCTATTCACTCTTGACTGTTCTCTTCCTCTCTGCCACCCTTCTTTAGGAGAGGGGGTGTGGAGGAGAGGGGAAGAGAAGGATATTGTGTGTGCCTGCGTGCGTACCGGCAAATACCTCACAGGGTAAATTTGGATCAGATTGAGAACAGGAAGCCACAGGCCAATACAAGGAGGCTCTGTGAGAACAGATGACAAACCGCAAGCCCAGGGAGGAGAAGGGAAAGAGCTTTCTAGGCTTGGGGGATGGGCGAGCCCACAAGCCCACCACACACAGCTGCGCTTGGCCTCTGTAATCAAAACCATCATTACAGACCTGATGGTTTGGCTACAGCTGTAAAGAGATAAGCGTGTTGGAAGAGAAAACATGGCCTCAGTGACCCGGCCTTAGGGTCTGAGTGGTTGCTAGTTTGCACACTCTCCTCTGACACCCCACCCCCCTTCCCTCCCCGGCTCCTCCCCAGCCACCTCCCAAGTAGAACTCCCAAGCCCCAGCAGCTCAGGAAACCACATCTTTTGAACAAAGCTGTACATGTGTCGGTTAGACGTGTCCAGTAAAAAGGGAGACGGGTTGATTTCATTTCAGGACATGACTTCAAAGACCAAAAAGAAAAAGGAAAAGAATCTGGTTAGGTTAGTGTGCTTGGAATGGTTAAGCTCTTGGGGTCTGAAGTAGGGGAGGGGGAAGCACAGGCCCCTTTCTCTTTCTCGCTTTTTTTTTCTTTCTAAACTAAACCCTCCGTCTGACATTGCTGTGGGCATTGTTTTTATATGAACAATTTGGGGTGGGCTCGTGGTGAAAGAAGGCCCTGTTACAAGGTGAGTGGGGAGGGGGAGACCACCAAGGGTGGCCAAGCCCCGAACTCTCAGACAGACTGTTTTTCATAGTGAGGCATGCACACAACAAGCTGTATTGAACAGATGTTATTTTATTACCTAAAGCCTTTTTTTTCCCATCGTGAAAAAAATAAACAGGAGAGGAAAAACACCACCAGCGCCACCATCCCCGAAAAAAGGAGGTGGCCTGGTCTGTTTTCCTCACTATAATAGAATTTTCATCACTTCATGACTGGTAAAAAACAAAAACAAAAAAACAAACAAAACCAAACCCAATGCCATCTAGTCAACTCCAACTCAGTGACCCTATAGGACAGAGCAGAACTGCCCAATAGGGTTTCCAAGGCTGTAAATCTTTATGGAAGCAGACTGCCACATGACTGGTACAGGTACTTTAAACCTTTCCCTCTTGGCCTGGTAACCATAAAGAACAGCTCACTCTTATTGAGCACTGTGCAGTTCTAAGTATTTACCCAGATTATCCTTCATTTAATCCTTACTGCAACCTTGTTAGATAGGCCTATTAGTATTATTGTTCCTACTTTACAGATGAGGAAACTGAGGCCTGGAGAAGTTAAGAAACCTGAAAGAGGTCACCTAGCAGGTAAGTGTTGGAGCTAAGCTTTGAAGCCAGGCATCCTGATTAGAGAGTTGGCTGAGCCACGCATTGCTCAACACTGCCCTGAACTCACCGGTGTGCCCACGAAGTATTTGCTGAAGGAATGAATAAGATTAGCAGAGATAACTTGGGTATCAGTGACATCTGGAGGCAAACGGGGGTCCCCAAAATCTTGAGTGTTGTTTTAAGATATACATACACTAAGAGTTTTGGAGTTCCCTAGTGAGAAAGAAAGGAAGGAAGACCAGATCTGGGGAGAAGGTCAACTCTGCTGGAATTCAGTTCAACTCATCATCCACTCTGCTGGCAACCACACGCCATTCACTCTACTGGGAGTTGAAAGACAAAGTTTACAGATAAAGTTAAGTCCTTTTGTAGTTAATGTAATATTTACTACTCACCAAAAGCCACAAGTAACAATGGTTGGTCTAAGTGTGGGCACAATATACAATCCTGGATGCAAAACAAAGACAAAGACTTGCTTCCACTGCCCTTTGCCCAACTCTACCATTTTACATCCCAACACATGCATTTTAGATAGGACTTTTCTCACTATGAATAACTTGTACTACTAATAATTTTCTAGTGTAATGTTCTGAACTAAAGACAATAAACTATCCCCAAACTGCACACTGTCTTCAGATATGGCACCCTAAAAAGAAAATGCCAATCTAAATTTTAGTTGCGTGATTTGGTGTGAAATATAAATGAACACCATTTGTACATGATATACAGCATGGTTTTCATCTCCAGCTTCATCATACTTGCACGTGTGTTTAAAGATGACACATGGGATTAATTCTTGTCTCCCACTATACAGTTCCATAAGTTAAAAAAAAAAAGACAAAAACTATTGGAATGTTGGTGAAGACCAATAGGATGACATGGTTTCAAATGGCAATTCCATTAAAAACCAATGAGAGTGCCATCACTTAAAAACCACACACACACACACACAAATAGTTTAGAGAAAAACTGATTTAAGGATAATTGCCTCTTTGGAGAAAATGTCCAAAGACCAAATCAACCACTCAATGGGCCTGAAAAATATCTAGGCAGAGAATGGCCCTGGTATTTGGCCATTCTTTGTAAAGTGCCTCCCTGAACATCGGAAGAGTTAGACGCAGTGTTCCAGGGCCAGCTGCAACCCTGCCTTGGTAGTCTAAATGGATCTAACTTGGTCTAGGTGGGCACTGTTCATTTAGTGATCAAAACATGATTCAAACGTACCTTTTAAAAAGAATCACAAGTCCAGCTGCTTTAGATCTTTAAAGGGATGGGAGCACAGAGATAATTTACAGTACTCTATAAAAAAGGTTAACCCTCTGCACTGCCTAGAGTCAGACAATACCTCTTTGCCCCCTTCCCAAGCTCTGCCTAACATGCCATATTGAGCATCCAAAGGAACAGCCAACAACACTGAAATAAATTCTACAATAACTCTCCTCTGCTCAGATGCTGGCAGTGCACAGCAGATCTCTTTGACACTGGTGGCAAGTTATTTGCATGTCTTTGGTCAATGGGGGAAAAAAATGAAAAGCAGGAAATCTCTCAACTCTCTAGTAATTATCTGAGAAGCACTGCTTTCAAAACTACTGTACCAAATAAAACCCGAAGTAAACTGAAGTTAATCTCATGAGCACGTTACAAAGATAAAATTAAAGTAATATTGTTCTCTTCACCCTCCTCCTAAATAAAAAATCAAATCTGGCATACACGTATGAACAAAATTCTAGTAACACAAGTCAAGGCCTGTACTGAATGATTTTCAATCTAGTTGTTTACCGTTTCATGCAAATTCACAGGGAAACTGGCTGCTTTAATCTTTACATACAAATGTATTGACTTATGACCAAAAAAGGCACTTAAATTTGTGTTTAAACAAGCCTAATTAAGTGAGAAATTAAGACATTCATTTGGATAACTTAAGCCAAAACTTTTGGAGGACATAATTATTTGGGAATTTCCAGTAAAAGTATTTTTGCTTAAATTGTCTGGATAATTATCTTGATTCTCCACTTTGTGTGTGTCAACACAGAATAAATGAACAGCTGTTCTTGGAATCACTAAATACATTCATATTCAGTCAGTTAACAGCAGCAAATCTAGGCTATTTTTTTTCCCTGTAGTTGACTAATATTTTCTAGAAATATTTCTAAGAGCAAGATAAGAAGTCAAAACAGGCATTTTAAAGCAGAATTGGATTATGTATGAAATAACGTGCAATGGGATTAAGCACTTATAGGTTTACTTCACATGCCAAATGAAAAGATGGTCAAATATGGAATTTTAAATTATATCCACTGACAATCCAAAATCTACTGGTATAGTGAGCTGTAATTTGGTAGTGAGTCAGCCTAGACATTCTATCAACACTTTGATTTCACTTGGTCACCAAAGTAGCCACCACCCAAAACAGCACACTAGAAGCATTTGGCTAAACATCTCATAACATATTTTCCCATTTCCCAATGTTTACAGGTAAATTCTCACAGAGGTGCCTAAGTCATTTGCTAGAACTGTTTGCATCGTTTTACAGGTAAAAGCCAGCTTTGGGGGGGCTGCTGCAGAAATAGTCTACATAAAGATTTTAAGCAACACTCAGGAGTCCATGCAACATGTCAGTGCTATCTGATAACCTAACACTTCAACAAAGTGAATAAAGGCAACTTGTAGAAGCTGAACACATAAAAGACCAAATAGTGGGTGACTGAAAATGACGCAAGCCCTCCAGCAATCCTTACCTTGGAGCCAATCTCTGAAGTAGTGCAGCCACATTTTGGGAAGCTGTTTGTTTTCTTCCAACATGACATATTTCACATTACTGAAACTCTTGTGAAGGTCATAAAGTAAGTGCTGGATGTTTGGGTAATCTGCTTTCTGGGTAACTATATACATGTTGTAGAAAGAAAAGTATTTGAACTGTGCAGCAATAAAGTCATATTCTCTGGTTTCCCGGGGAACAATGTCTGTAAGGTCCAGTCCATCTCTCACTCGGGTAGTCCCATAAAGGCTGACCCCTAGCAAGCCCAAGAAAAGGAAGATCACCACAACCTGCAAGAGAAGAAGTCACAAGATCAGACCCAAAGGACATAATCGACTCTTCCTTGAGAAAGATAAGGTGTTTTGTTTATATCTCACTTTTTATCACCACACTGGGGCCCTGGTGGCATAGTCATTAACAGCTTGGCTGCTAACCAAAAGGTCAGCAGTTTGAATCCACCAGCCACTCTTTGGAAACCCTATGGGACAGCTCTACTCTGTCCTTTAGGGTTGCTGTGGGTCGGAACTGACTCAATGGCAATGGGTTTGGTTTGGTTTAGGCTCTGATTTAGCAAATGAGGTCATTCTACCAGAGAGAAAACAATAAAATCATACTAATTGCATTTTTAAACAAGCTCATGGAGAATGAAAATGTTTAAAATGGAAGAAGTTGGCCTAAATTTATAGAAACAATTGCCACAAAGATTCACTCCTGTGGAAGGTGAACTCATTCAAACGGTCCCACCATGCTCTAAATGGATTGACTATTATGGAGTCCTGAAATATATCATGCCCTAATAAATTTTTTTTTTTTTAATGGAAAAAGGGAAGAAAAGTAAGAGCAATCCGCTGCAGCCTGTTCTGGTATTTTCTGGGAAAAAGCAGGGTCTCTTGTTTTGGTAGTTACCTTGGCTTTGGGTTTCAAGAGGAAAGGAGCGTAGTGCTTCTCAGCAAAAGAGGAAAGTGTCCACTTGGTACAGGGGGGCTCAAGGCAATGGAGGCTGGAGTCAGAGAACTGAGACAGCAGGTCCCTTGTGGAGCTGGTGCTCTCGGGGCTCTGGCAGCTAAGGGTATCCTGGGTCACGGTGACAGGCTGCACAGAGATCTCAGAGCGCGGCTCCGCAGTGGTGTAGTACACGTGTGTGTGGGGGTCATATTCCGTGCGGAGCTGGACTGTGGACTGCATGGTAATCTGTGTTTCGTGGGCAAAGCTATGGCTGCTGTATGGTGGTGGGGGGCTGTAGCGAGTATTATCATGGGGCTCCGTGTAAGCCTGAGGCTCCACCTGAATCACTCTGCTGACACAGGGGCTGAAAGAGGAAAAGTATGTTGCAATGTTATACTGAAACAGGGAAACAGTACTTTCATTTTTTTCCAATGGCCATTTTCCGTATCTCTGATGTAGGAGAAAAACATTATCATTGAACTTTACAAACATAACTTGGTTTATCTGGATATGGGCATGAGTAAGTCCAAGGAAGCCAAATGGATGGCTGATTTCAAGTTTGGCCAATAAAATCAAGTTACCTATGAACGAACCACTTCAAAACCTAATTCCTAAAAGAACGTATATATTTTTTTTCCCAGAAGGGGAATCTTCAACCTTCATTCCACCCTAACCCAGAGAGATATGACACATACCCAACAATCAGCAATATTGATTCCCAAAAGAAAAAATTATCATGTGTATCAGAACCTCAAAGGTTGTGAGATTATTCAGCTGAGGGAGGGGAGAACCCCAGTGATTCAGATATTTGCCCCAGGGAAGCCCTGCAGTCTAATATCTCCCCTACCCCATCACACTAATGCAAACCCTAACCAGTGCATTTTTATGCAAATAACGCGCACCTTCTACATTTGTTTGACAACTGCCCCCCTACCCCCCGGTATTTTCCTAAGCGCTACTATGCCCATTTTTTTACATGTTGCTGTTAAAAAAAAGCATAGCCTGCTTATGAAAATACCTGGAGGGAGGTCCATGGCTGGAAACAAATGTAGAAGGTGTGCGTTATTTGTGTAAAAATACAGTACTTCTCTTCTAAGTACATATACAGGAAGAGTTCTCTCAACACTACCACTCTGTACCCAATGAATAAAAGCCAAAGCTGCCTGATAATGTACCTTGTGAAACAGCAGAAAATATCCAATCTCCTGTCCTCACGCCGATACAAATCCATGCTGAGAATTGCAGGAAAAATGAGCAGAACCATGGCAAAATTGAACACCACAACTACAGCCGCCTAAGAGAAGGAAAGAAAATTCAGGTTACCAATAAACTCTTCCAAATCAGAGGACTGCTCTGAAAATAAAGATGTTTTTAAACATCTTTCTTTTGCTTTCCTATTGAAGTATTTAAACCTGAAATAGATGTTGGAGTTTCCCATCATTTAACACAATTCCATCATTAAGACACCATTGGACTGGATTTGTTGTGTTCCTTCGAGTCGATTCCAACTCATAGCAACCCTATAGGACATTGTAGAATTGCCCCGTAGGGTTCCTGGGCGGTTACCTTTATGCGAGCAGATTGCCGGGTCTTTTCTCCCATGGAGCCGCAGGTAGGTTTGGAACATTGACCTTTTGGGCTAGCAACCAAGCACTTAACCATTGCACCACCAGGGCTCCTTACTGGGCTGGAGTAGCCCCCATCATTTCGATCCTCCAACTCCAATAATTCCAAGAACCCATAAGTTACAAACAATGGAACTAAACCACTAACATCTTGCTAGTAACCTAAGCAAGTCAGACCTACAAAGGCACATCAGAGAATTACTTGAGATATTTTAATTTAAAACAAAAAGAAACATATCCCTTTTAGAATATTTCGAAGCATTCGTGTGGCCCTGACTTACCACTTAGAAAATCTGTATATAGAAATGGATTGAGTACATTAAAATGTCACCTTTAAAACATGAAATAAAATTTCAAACATGTCCCCTGAGGCTTTTAATAGGCACATTCCAAATAGCCTCTGGAGTAGCCTGTGGTGTGCGCGAGCACAGGAACATAAAAGGTCAAGGAGAGTTAAGCAGGAAAGAAATTCCTGAGTGTGATTATAGTATGCAGAATAAATAAGTACAGATTCAAAAGTCACTCTGTAACCTAGAATAAACACGGGGTAAGATGCTGTAGTGCTTTGGCAAGACTCCTGCTGACCTAGTAAAAATTACAAAATTGGGCTGTTAATAGGACAAAGTCCACAGAAGACAGTGGACAGGGTTCTCTGTTCAGAAAAATATAGAAAGAAAAAACACAATAGAAAAGTAACACCAGATTGCTAAGTAATCAAGAAATAATTTTTTTTTAAACTAAAAACTTTTTTGAGGTTTTTCAAAGGACTGCTTAGTTCTAAAATTTTCTCAGTAGGGTTACTGTCTCAGGGTGAGGGAAAAAAATTGGCAATCAGTGGTACCTAACAAAGTCAAGAAAGAACTTTGCAAAGGGCTTTTGATCGTAATTGTGAATTTATGTTCAAGAAACAGTAACAAACAAGCCCAAGTTCTGAAGAGATGCCTTCAGTCAATAATTTCCTATAAAGCCTATAAACTCATTGCTATCCAGTCGATTCCGACTAATAGTGACCTCATAGGACAGAGGAGAACTGCCCTATAGGGTTTCCGAGGAGCAGCTGGTAGATTCGAACTGCTGACCTTTTGGTTAGCAGCTGGGCTCTTAACCACTGTGCCACCAGGGCTCTGTGAAGCCTATAAGAACCATAAAATAACCAAGAGCCTCCATCTCAAAATCACCTAGCCCCTATTTCTTAAATACGTTAAAAATTCCTATCAATTCAAAATATATGCAACATGTTCATTTACCACTGTAATGTATGAAAACCCTGTGGATATCACAACAGAATACTATACAATGAATGTAGTGCTGGAAAATAAGGCCCCCAGGTTGGGAGGCACTCAAAATAAACAGTGGCTGTAACAACAGACTTGAGCATAACAATGATTGTTAATGAATGAATGAATAAATGAGAACCAGGGTACAATTTCTGATGGCTACTCAAAATCATTGCTTGCTTTTCCTTTTTTTATTAAATTTTCTTTTCTTTCTTTTTTGGACAGAGAATGAGCCAGAGTGTCACAGTAAGCCATTGTGTAATAAATGAGGACTTGTGGAAACTATAGATAGCACTTCCTAAAGTGACCATCCAGTGGCCTGTGCTAGGAATGCAAACCCAACAGCACTCACTGAACCCAGCCAGGTGCTCACCTTGGGAGAACTTAGTGGCTGGATTTTCTACACTGGTAGCTTTCCAGACCACCACACCAGAGGATATCATTAAAGGAGAGCTTGTCTTGATGACTCATCAGTATGTACTAAGGAAGGGGAGGAGAAAATGAGAGAGAGGAAAAGGAAGAAAAAAAGGTATGTGAGGCAGAGAAGATAAAGAACAGGGAGAAAAAAGGCAAGCAGAAAAGAAGGGAAAAAAGAAAAAGAGAGACAGGGAGGAGAGAGGGTTCCACTAATAAAGATTCTAGAATAACTTCTCAGTACCAAGATCTGCTATATATTGAACAAAAACAGGATAAAAAAGTTTGCGGAACAGGTGCATGCTTGTGCAAAAAGGCCATCCAAAATTTAGTCATAGCAATAAACCTTTTACTTATCTCTGATGTTACTCCTAGCAGTTAGATATACTTTCATTTTCTTTGAGGTTAGATACGAGTTTCAGCTGAATGAATAAATGAGAACTTCATTCATTCACTACTTCTATTAATACAGCAATACAAAATATATAATAAATTAATATATGTAATAAATAAAATATATAAAATCTAAAATAAATTTACAATAAAAATAAAACCTTTTAAGAGGTGGGGCCAAGATGGCGGAGTAGACAGACGATTCTGGTGGACCCTTTTACAACACAGACCCGAAATAACAAGTGAATCGATTATATATGGCAACCTCGGACACCTGAACATCAAAGGCAGAGTTGAGGAACCAGACAGAGTGACAGGCGGAGGGAGAGATGGTTCAGAAGCAGCAAGGAGTTGCCAGACTGATCCGGCCAGAGCCCAAGCCCTTCAGGCCTGATCAGCTCGGGGGTGAGCAGTGAGGCATGCAAATGGTGGTGCTCGGGCGGTGCATTTTCCGCACTGGGAGAGACCTAGCGTCCGCACTGGGAGAGACCTAGCGCCGTGTCTACACAGCCACCTGGAACCAGTGAGAAGCAGCCCTGGATCGGTGAAAGACAAGTACTTGCATACAGCCTACCACGCGGATCAAAAACACCTCTCTTAGGGAAAAAACTCTCTCCCATTTACCTCCCCACTCCCTGCTCTGCATTGGGTCCTGGACCAGCTTCAGGAATTGCCGAGTCCCCTGGGCCCGAAGTAGGATCTGTCACATGCCCAGAGCCATTCTCCCTGCCTTGGAGAGTGAACAAATTAACAAACGGGAAAAAATAAACTGTCGGCTTCCATAAGCCAAGAACCTAGCGTAGACACAGCTCCTTTGCGTAGACACAGGCATAAGGGATCTACAGATTTTGAGTGCCTTTCCTCCTGCATAGACTTGCGTAGGCCCATCTCAACAGCGTAGGCTCTCATTACCGCAGTACAACAGGGTATATACTGGAACTCTTAACTTGAACTGTTTCAGCTGTCAAGTGGCAGGTTCTTGACATTTGACACTGCTCTACCCATTAAGAAGGGTCTTCATCTACCCAAATCAGGGGCCTGAGGACTGATGACCACCTACACCACCTAGTCACTTGCGATAGGGGCCTATGAATCAGAGGTACCCCCCCAGTCCTTACAGCCAACAGCATTAGGTGCTTAGTCCAGGTGCAAACCCCACCCACCCACGCGCTCTAGGGAACAGGGACACGCCTTCCTCCTGGACACTCAGGGGTAGCCCATCAGCCCCATACCTTGCTCAGAGTGTGTCCCCCAGTTGCAGCCAGATGCCTGTGCCTACACAAATCACCCATGCCTGTCTAGGACTGTAAGTGAGAGCCTACACCACACACACCTGGTGGCTATCTACCTGGGCAACTGAGCTGAATCCATACAGGAGGAGTGGACGGACTCCTGAGCTCAAACACCTAGTAACAGATCTAACCACCTGGTGACAGGACATTAGAGTTTCAAAGGTGCCAATAATCAAACTAGCTCATACGAGCAGCTTATTTGGGCATATCAAAACAATACAAGAAGCTAGGACACAGTAAGCAAACATAAAATAAATAAATATAATAACTTATTGATGACTTGGAGACAACAGTCAGTATTATATCACATAAAGAGGCAATCCATGACAGCTTCAGCAAGTTCCCAAAATAAGGAATCTAGAAATTTTCCAGAGGAGAAAAATTTCTTGGAATTACCGGAGGCAGAATACAGAAGATTAATATACAGAACTCTTCAAGAAATTAGGAAGGAAATTAAGCAAAATGCAGAACACACAATAGACGAAATTAAAAAGATTAGAGAAGAGGATAATGACAAATTAAACAGGCTGCAAAAATCCATACAGAGACAGCCATCAGAAATCCAGAAGATTAACAATAAAATTTCAGAATTAGACAACTCAATAGAAAGTCATAGGAGCAGAAATGAGGCAACGGAAGTCAGGATTAGTGAGACTGAAGATAAAGCCCTTGACACCAACTTATTTGAGGAAAAATCAGATAAAAGTATTAAAATAAATGAAAAAACCCTAAGAATTATGTGGGACTCTATCAAGAGGAATAATCTGTGAGTGATTGGAGTACCAGAACAGGAGGGATAATAGAAAATACAGAGAGAATTGTTGAAGATTTGTTGGCAGAAAACTTACCTGATATTGTGGAAAAAAGAGAAGATATCTATCCAAGAAGCTCATCGAACCTCACAAAGGTAGACCCCAAAAGAAAGTCGCCAAGACATATTATAATCAAAATTGCCAAAACCAAAGATAAAGAGAGAATTTTAAGAGTGGCTAGGGATAAACGGAAAGTCATCTACAAAGGCGAGTCAATAAGAATAAGCTCAGACTACTCAACAGAAACCACGCAGGCAAGAAGGCAATGGGATGACATATAGAAAGCACTGAAGGAAAAAACCTGCCAGCCAAGAATTATATATCTAGCAAAACTGTCCTCAAATATGATGGCAAAATTTGGGCATTTCCAGGTAACAGAAATACTACAGGGAGTCCTCCTGTTAGAAAATCAGTAACCTCAGATAACAAACTAAGACTAGAACACAGGACAGAGCAACCAGATATCAATCCAGATAGGGAA